CCCCACTAGGGCTTGAGGACTTAGTCTGCCTCGTTCATCCCTACATCCCTTGCTGGAACCAGGCCTGGCTCATATTGTTGTTAGGCGCCTTGAGTCGTTTTCAACTCGGAGTCACTCCATGTGACAGGAGAACTGCTGCACACGGTTCTCTAGGCTGTAATCTTATGGAAGCAGGTCACCAGGTCTTTCTGCTGTGGATCAGCTGGACGGGTTTCAATCACCAGCTTTCCCGTCAGCAGCTGAGTGCCAAACCATCTGCACCACCAGAGCCTGGCACATACTAAATATTAAATAAGAATCTATTGAATAAATGGGAGAATCACAAACAAAATACTCAAAATTCCTCTCATGAAGATATTCCTTACCTGGAATATGACACATAGGCCAGAGAAGACTCAGACTAGCAATTCAATTTCCATTCAGTCAAGAGGAAAGAAAAGAGGACCAAGACCTATGGAGTACCTTAATGGGCCCTACATAAGTAATCCTTCTTACTTAGTCCTTCTAAAAATTCTATGAAATCTACAGTCCCCATTTTATTTATGGGAACCAGGGAAAAGGAAGAAGAGGAAAATGATGATGAAAGTGGGGGGTTAAATAATCCCCCCTGACCATACACTATTAAGTGGTGGAACAGCTGTGACTTGAACCCAAATCTATCTGGCTCCAGATCCAGGCTCCTTGCACTGTACCACAGGGCTTTTCAGTAAGGAGAGATATTTAACTCCATTGTACAACATTGTCCACATAGTACATTAAACAAGAGACACAAAGATGAGTAAGAAGAAGTTCACAAAGCAGCAACCACAACAACACGCCTACAGCTACATGACCTTTCGGTTAGCAGCCAAGTGCTTAACCACCACAGCTCCTAATTCACAGCAACCACTAAACACCAAGCTCAGTCAGTCAGGTTTAGTACTACAGGAAATACCCAGTTCTCATCCTACCTCACCTCAAACCACAGCTGGGTGAACCTGGGGTGAGCATGTGACCAAAGAGAAGGCAGATCACAGGCTGATCAGAGATCCAGGATGTGGTCTGGAATATAAAAAGGAGCTGAACCAATCAGATTCTGCCTTGTGGAGTTGCAATGATACACAGGCAAAATCCTTGAGAGGGAGTGCTCAAAAAATAGGAAGCAGAGGAGTCCCTGAGTGCTGCAAAAAGTGACCACATTCAGCTGCTAACTGAAAGGTTGGAGGCTAGAGTCCACCCAGAGGTGCCTTGGAAGCAAGGCCTGGTGATTCCCTCCCCTCAAAAAAACCAGTCATTGAAACCCTACACAGGGTCACCATGAGTTAGAGTCAACTCGACAGCAACTTTTTTTTTTAAATAAGGAAGCAGAAAGCGAGTAAGTAGACACTATGAGAAAGAATGCAAACGATTATGGGCTAGATGTAGCTCACAAATGTGTTCTGTGGCCTGCACATGTATTACATTATTTTAAAATTACACTCAGCTTGTGGTCTCTAAAGGAGCTCTGGTGGTATAGTGGTTAAGGTATTTAGTTGCTAACCAAAAGCTCAGTGGTTTAAACCTACCAGCCACTCCATGGGAGAAAGATGAGGCAGTCTGCTTCCATAAAGATTACAGCCTTGGAAACCCTCTGGCCAGTTCTACTTTGTCCTACAGGGTCACTAGGAATTGGAATCAAGTCGATGGCAGTGGGTTCGGTTTGGTTTTGTGGTCCTTAAATACCATTCCCCACAAAAAGGAACCAGAAGTCACTGGAGGAATAGGTGCTTCCAGGTCAGGGGCTGGACATTTAAAAAATGAACTTGAGACATCCTGTGTCAGAAAACAAGAACGCTATCAAAGGCTAGTGGGATTATGTCAGAAAGATACAGAAGCCAACATGAAGGAGCCAAAGGGACAACCTGAGCATAAAGAATGCAGTTGACTGAAACACAGATTCTGAAAGTCAACAACAAAAGCTGTTTCATTATAATACTGAAAAACAAAACCCTCTTTAGGTGCCATTGGAAATGATAGCTGTCATTTACTATGAAAATTATCAATTAAAAGGAGTAAGTTCTACATTTATCCTCCCTTTCCTGTAAGAGGGGAGGTCTGGTGGTGTAATGCATAAGATAATTGACTACTAACTGGAAGGACAGTGGTTCAAACCCACCAGCTGCTCCGTGGAAGGAAGATGGGGCAATCTACTTCTGTAAAGATTTACCACCTTGGAAACCCAATGGGGGTCGCTATGAGTGGGAAACAACTCAATGGCAGTTGAGTTGTTTTTTTTTTTTTCTCTTTTCCCTTTATGAACTGTAAAATTTTAGGGTAATCAAATGGCCTTCATTAATGAATTCTTTTATTTTCCTCTTTTTTTCTTGTGGTGAAAACATACACACCAAAACATCCACTAACACAACTTCCAAATTTACAACTCAATGATATTTTTCAAGTAATGAATTATTTACAGAATAATTCTAGCTATAATACGGAAGGAGTAACAGACTAGAAAATTATTTCACAAACTTAATGAAAAATTAATTTCAGACGGTTGTTACTGGATCAATTCATAAATGAAAGACTGATGGGAAGGTATACAATAGGAGGCAGAATAAAGGCTCACCAAAGACATAATGGCTAAGACACTTTCCTGCTAACCAGACGGCTGGCGGTTCAAACCCACCAGCCACTCCTCGGAAGGAAGGTTGGGCAATCCTACTTCCGTAGTGATACTGCCTCGGAAACCCAAGGAGGGGTCGCTATGAGTCAGGTTTGACTTGACGGCACATAACAACAACAACAACAAAGACATCCACATCCTCTTTCCTAGAACCTATGAGGGTATTACCTCCAGGGCAAAAGAGATTTTTGTAGATGTTATTAAATTAAGGATCTTAAAATGGGGAGATTATCTTGGATTCGCTGATCTCAAAAATCACAAGGGTCCTTATAAGGGAAAGTAGGAGGCATGAGAGTCAGAGATGTGATGACCAAAGCAGAGGTCACAGAGACAGATATGAAGACGCCATACTGCTGGCTTTGAAGATAGAGGAAAAGGCTATGAGTTTGGCTGCTACCTGAAAGGTTGGAGGTTCCAGTCCACTCAGAGCCACGGGCAATCTTCAAAATCAGCTAATGAAAACCTTATGGAACATCATTTTACTCTCATACACATGGTCATCATGAGTCCTAGCTGACTCAACTGACAAGTGGTTTGGTTCTGTTTTCCAATAGTTTAAACAGAAATTAAGGATATCTCGTGGCATAGCCGAAGGCATTCGACTGCTAACCAAAAGGCTGGCGGTTCAAACCCACCAGCCACTCCTCGGAAGGAAGACTGAACAATTGACTTCTGTTGTTATTGTTGTTATGTGCTGTCGAGTCAGCCCCGACTCATAGCGACCCCTCCTTGGGTTTCCGAGGCAGTATCACTACGGAAGTAGATTGCCCAACCTTCCTTCCGAGGAGTGGCTGGTGGGTTTGAACCGCCAGCCGTCTGGTTAGCAGTCAAGTGCTTTAGCCACTATGCTACCAGAGATTTAAAAAAAAAAAACAAACTCGCTGCCATGGAGTGAATCTAACTCACAGTGACCCCTCCTTGGGTGTCTGAGGAGGAAAAGATTGCCCAATCTTCCTTCTGAGGAGTGGCTGGTGGGTTTGAACCACTAGCCTTCTGGTTAGCAGTCGAATGCCTTACATACTAGGCCACCAGAGCTCCCTCCATACATATACCACCTTGGAAACTCAAGGGGTCGCTATGAGTCAAATCCACTGGAAGGCAGTGACTTTTTGTGGTGATACAGTGCCTAAAGCATTTGACTAACCAGAAGGTTGGTGGTTCAAACCCACCAGCCACTCTGCAGAATGAAGATGGGGCAATCTACTTGTGTAAAGACTTCCTGTCTTGGAATCCCAACGGGTTGCTATGAGTCAGAATCAACTCCATGGCAGTGTTTAGTTTTTACTATTTTTAAAAAACCATAAATTACAGATACACTAGAAGCTCTGTTTAAAAGTAAAACTGTTTCCATTTACTCTAAGAAAAGGCTCATTCTGTTTATTAAAACAAAACACTGTGGTTATTGTGAATGAATTAAATTACCTGAAAAAAAATCAATCAAATCTTGACTGATAACAAATTATATTAACATATGAAAGAGCAAGCTAGGTTACCCTAACTGCAAATGGGACCAAACTGGCTTAAAGGTAGCAGCTGTCACCATCCAACACAGTTGAGATTCAGATAAAATTTAGCCAAGTCTACACTCTGGGGTACAAAAGAGAAAGAACTCAAAGGGAAAGAAGTAGAGACTGAGACCATTTCGTGACCAATTAATTAACTTTAATTAACCACAGGAATTACAAATTAAAGCAAGACGCGAATAAGATTGCAGCTCTTTGCCCTCCACATCCTAACTCCCAAAGTAGGAATCAATTCCACCTCCCAACACTTTCCAGTTCATTCCAATTCTCTGAGCCTCAGTTTCCTCTGTAAAATGGCGCTAAGGACACGTACTTTGTTTGCAGCGTGGTGCTACGAAGTAAATGGTAACGCCTGTAACGTAGCACAGGCCCTGCCACACCGCAGAAGCTCAATAAGTACAGGTCTTATTATCCACAGTAAGCTTTAGGACCTCCCATTACTTTTCTGCAGGTATCAGGGTCAGACGATGCCAATCGCTTCCTGCAAATTCCCAACATTCAAAGACTTCTTTAGAGAACCAAGTTACTGCTCAAGGTACTTCAAATTACAAGCATATGACCCAGGAAACGACCGAAACAAAGTCGAGGCCGCCCCATATCAGGGGTCACCACACCTCGTGGCCCTTCAGTGAGTTCCTAGACACTGACGACCAGCCCCGCCCTGAGAACGACAACGAACAGGGTGAGGGGGCGGTCTCGGCCGCACGCCCTTAACGCTCTCAGGAGGCCGAAGCACCCCTAGGCCTCCGCCTGCCCGACTCCCCCAGTGCCGGACTTCCCCTCGCCTCCGCCTGCAGTCTTCCCTCCTGGCCCCGCGCCGCCCAGTGCCGCACCTTGAGGTGAGTGCGCAGGCCGCCAGTGGCCCCAGACTGGTTGGTGATCTCATATGCGCCCGTCACCAGTAGGTCCTTGTGGATCTCTTCCCGGAGGCACTTGCGGGAATTAAGGGGCAGATGGAAGGAGATGGCGAGGACCGAGCTGGGGCCGAGCAGGAGCAAAATTAACAACGCCAACGGGCAAGGGCCGCGTTGGAACAGTAGGCCAGACAAACCAGACATGGTGCCGGAGACTTGTTCACCACCCGGGGCCTCAACCGCGCCGGAACCGGGAGGACCCATGTGACTCACCTCTGACCCGCCAGTGCCGCCAGCGCCATTTTGGAGGCTGGCAAATGAAAGAAACTATAGAGAATCTTTTGGAAGTCAATAAAGGATATGGCAACACGTGAGGATCACAAACTACAGGGGTTAGAGCAGCTTTAGTAGAGGCTGACTGCAAAAATGTGATTTTTGTGGAGCTTACTGACTTCCAAGTTGGCCATGGTATGTATGGGCAGCCCTGGAAGTAATTCTTCTTTAACTTCCGGAAGCTGTACCCGCGAGTTTTAAGGGCGGTGATACCATAGTAACCAAGCCCCAATAAGGAACAGCCACAAGGCCCTTCACTGGGCCCGCCCACTGGCCACCTAGGCGCGGAGACGGAGATACTAACTGAAGCTGTGCTGGCTTGCACTAATGGTTTTGCAACTACCCCCAGCTGCTTGATGTCTTGGTGCCAGCTAGGACGTTGGTACGCTTGAGAGGACCTTGAGAGACAGAGAGGAGAAACTCGGGAGGCTGAGCTGAAACATTCTAATATGGCTGTTGGGCGAGTGGGGACCAAAAAAACCCAAACTCACTGCCAAGTGGAATCCGACACATAGCGACCCCTGCTTGAGTTTCAGAGGCGATGTCACTAGGAAGTAGATTGCCAAACCTTCCTTCCGAGTGGGGACCGGTACCTAAGAAAATTAGGTATAGAGGTCACCTCGTGAATGTAAGCTGGGCAAACGTGCAGTTCATGCCCTGAGTGGGGTATTTGGGCTGGAGTAAGTATTTGGCCTCCTAAATGTGCACTTTATTTATGTAGCCAACATTGAGCGTCTGTTATACTAGGCTATGTTGTTGTTGTGTGCCATCCAGTCGGACCCGACTCATAGCGACCCCACCTTGGGTTTCCCAGGCAGTATTACTACGGAAGTAGATTGCCCAACCTTCCTTCCGAGGAGTGGCTGGTGGATTTGAACCACCAGCCTTCTAGTTAGCAATTAAGTGCCTTAGGCACTATGCTACCAGAGCGCCTATACTAGGTTATAGTGAAACTAAATTTGAATTTTGTATTTAAATTTAATAAAAACCGCCATGTTTTAGTTCTGTCTGAAAGATGAATAATATAATACAGGTTTACCAGATATTAATTGTCAGGGGAAGGAGGTCTTTTGTGTTTTAAAACGTAAATACTTTAGGTAGCAAATTGGCTAGTCCATTTTAAGAAAATTCAGACAGTAATGATTTGGGCATAGGAAGGTTGGGCAATCTTCCATAGTGATACCTGCTCAGAAACCCAAGGAGGGGTTGCTATGAGTCGGATCCCACTCGACAGCATTGAGTTTGGTTGTTTGGTTTTAACAGATATTTATTGAGTATTTACTATGTGCCAGACACTGCCATGCATGCATACCAAACATGTTTATTGATTTTACAAACCCTTCTTGGCATGCTGTCAAATATTAGGGTCAGAAGATAGAAAGATAAATAGGGAATACATAACAGCTTATGTTTGGCTTCACTGTCTTCTTTGATCAGTATTTATTAAGCATCTACAGAAATGCCCGGAAGAATTACCTGCCCCCAAACCAAAAATCAAACCCACAGCCATGAAGTGGATTCCAACTCGTAGCGCCCCTATAGCACAGAGTAGAACTGTCCTGTAGGATTTCTAAGGTGGTAAGTCTTTATGGAAGTGGACTGCCACATCTTTCTCCCACAGAGTGGCTGATGGGTTTGAGACTTTTGGTTAGCAGCCAGCGCTTTAACCACTGTGCCACTGGGGCTCCTTCAGTACCTGCCCAAGTAATTTAAATGATTGTTGTGTATTTACAACTCCTTTCAGTCCACTTACTTCATTTCCCGGAACTGAACTCCCACAAATAACACAAGAGCAAACATAAAAGAGCTGTAAAACGTTTTAAAAATTGACAAATGCCATATAATAATTATTTTATGAGGTATCCACTTAGGAACATTTCGTTTGTTTTATCCCTGATCTAAGACCTCTTCCTCTCTTTGTCTCTCAAGGTCCTCTCAAACATCTCAATGTCCCAGCTGTCACCAAGGTGTCACGGAGCTGGTGGTGGCTGCAAGATGCCCTAGTCCAGGGTGACACAGCTTCAGCCCAGATCTCTGCCCCATGTAACTAAGATAAGATTGCTAGTCTGCTCACTGAAAAAAAAAAACAGTTACAGTTGAGTCAATTTCAACTCCTGGTGTCTACTCAGTACATCCTGATAATTTGCATTGACCTTTTCCCTGCCAAAGCAAGGAATCAGTAGAGGCGGTCTTCTAATTCACTGTTACTGTCAGTCCCAAGGTTCTTTTGACCATAAACTAGAGATTTGCAGCCCATAAGATTGTTGTTGTTGTTATTGTTATGTGCTGTCGAGTTGGACCCAACTCATAGCGACCCCTCCTTGGGTTTCCAAAGCTTTATCACTATGAACAATCTTCCTTCTGAGGAGTGGCTGGTGGGTTTGAACTGCCAGCCTTCTGGTTAGCAGTCAAGTGCCTAAGGCAATATGCTACTAGAGTTGTGTGTAATTATATAAATTACACTTATATAATAGGCTATAAGTTTGTAATATTTTCATATATATCAATTAATTCATTAGACATTTTCAGAAAGTGGAATAGCTTGGACAAGCTTGTTTGATCTACAGATGAGAAAACTGGGTTCTGAGAGTCTAATAAACTTTTGTACCCAAAGTCCCATAACTTAAAGGTGACAAAGTTAGTCTGAAGTCCTGAGCTTTCTGCAGGAAGGAGCTATTCTTTCTTATTTGACAGATGAAGAAATTGAGACTCAGAGAAGTTGAGTTACTGTCCTATGTCACATGTCTCAAATTCTTTCTTGGCCTATATTCTCACTTATTCTTTGCCCTCAACACTTCCTGTCTCCCTTCCCTACTTTAGATTTCACTCTTGAGCAGTCACTATTATCTGATAGAGCATTTTATAAATAAAATGTAAATTTTATAAATAGGTTAAAATACTTCATAAGGCCATCTGAGATGCAACAATTAGTCTCTCCTTATGGATAACCAAACTATGGTACATTCACACAATGGAATACTATGCAACGCTAAAGAATAATGTAGAATCTGCAAAACACCGCATAACGTGGATGAACTTGGAGGACATTATGCTG